GATCCTAAGCGACCAGATGGGATAATTAGTCGCGGTTAGGATCGGACACTGGAATGGAAGCTTGTTGTTATCCTTGATTACCGCAACCTGGTTGTTGGCATCAGCCATCGTATTGTTCTTAGATCGACGCTTGTACTTCTGCCCTATCTTCGGATCTGGTAATTGATCCAGCCCTTTTGGATCAGGAGAGTTTCAGGCCCTTCGAACTCAGCTCCGATACCAATTGAAGTTATTGGTACCAGATCTCGATAAACAGAAAACAGAAATCTAGAACAAGAACTTATTGGAAATCCTTCTCCAATTAATTGAAAAACTTTGAATGCATAAAATACAGAGAAACTATCCCTATTTATAGATGAGTTAACCTTGTCCACCAAGTTAAATCATCAGCCTTGCTCTCCAAGCATAACATCTCCTACTCCTACAAGCTATGATAATCTCAAATCCATCTGAGATATATCTCCTAAAATTATGACTGACTCTACCCTAATTATTAACAAATAAAGACTTCAACATAATTGCAAAATAAACCCCCTAACTATTACTGAATGTCAAGATTGGTCCAACACCTATCATGGATTTGACGAAGAATCAGAAGTTCGAGTGGAACTCCAAGGCCCAACAGGCCTTTGAAACAATCAAGGAGCGATTAACACATGCCCCCGTGTTAGCCCTTCCTAGTTTTGACAAACTATTCGAGGTCGGGTGTGATGCCTCGGGAGTTGGAATCGGGGATGTGCTGTCCCAAGAAGGGCACCCGGTGTCGTACTTTAGCGAGAAGCTAAACGACACAAGAAGGAGGTATTCTACATACGACAAGGAGTTCTACGCATTGGTACGGTCACTTGAGCATTGGCGCCATTATCTCGTGAGCAAGGAATTCATCTTACATTCCGACCATGAGGCGCTAAAATACATCCAAGGGCAACATAAACTCCGACCTCGGCATGCTAAATGGGTCGAGTATATCCAAACCTTCACCTTCACCATCAAACACAAGAACGGAACCATGAACAAAGGCGCCAATGCCTTGTCCCGGAGGCATTTATTACTAACGGTACTTAGTACCAAACTTGTAGGTTTTGAGTTTTTGCAGGAGCTTTACAAAGAGGATGAAGACTTCAAGGACACTTATTCCAAGTGCCTTATTCGACCACATGGAGAATTCCTAATCAAGGATGGTTTTCTCTTCCGAGGCAACCAACTTTGCATCCCGAAATGCAGCGTTCGAGAAACCCTTATTGATGAAGTACATGGAGGAGGCCTAGCTGGTCATTATGGGATTGACAAAACCCACATGATGATGAGAGAGCACTACTACTGGCCGAAGATGGAGCGGGACGTAGAACACTTTGTGAAACGATGCAACGCTTGCCACCTCGCCAAGAGCCATGCGCTGCCTCAAGGAAGACACCTACCCCTGCCCGTGCCTTTTGCTCTATGGGAAGACGTGAGCCTAGACTTCATTACCGGGCTACCCAGAACACAACGTGGCAAGGATTCTATCATGGTCGTGGTGGATCGTTTTTCAAAAATGGCTCATTTTGTACCATGTGTGACAACTTATGATGCATCCCAAGTGGCTGATCTCTACTTCCGAGAGATTGTAAAACTCCATGGCGTTCCCCGAAGCATGGTCTCGGATAGGGACACAAAATTCCTTAGCCACTTTTGGATGACCCTGTGGAGAAAATTAGGTACTAAACTCAAGTTTAGTACGTCAAGCCACCCCCAAACCGATGGACAAACGGAAGTCACCAACAGGACTCTCGGGACCCTTCTCCGAGTCCTCATAAAGAAAAACATCAAACAATGGGAAGAACTACTACCACATGCCGAAATTGCCTACAACCGCACCCCGAGCAAGACGACCGGCTTGTCCCCTTTCACGATTGTATATGCTTCCAACCCCTTGACCCCGCTTGAGCTTGATCCTATCATGACGGACACCAAATACAGTTGGGAAGCGGACAAGAGATCAAAGGAGATTCAAGACCTTCACAACAAGGTCCGAGACAAGATTGAAGGAATGAACGAGCAAGTCAGCAACCGAATCAACAAAAGGAGAAAGAACACGAGTTTCCAACCGGGAGACTTGGTGTGGATCCATCTTAGAAAAGAGCGTTTTCCCACCAAACGCAAATAAAAGCTATTACCGAGGGCTGATGGCCCATTCGAAATCATAGAAAAGATCAATGACAATGCCTACAAGGTCAACCTTCCAGGAGACTACGGAGTATCGGCCACATTCAATATCAAAGATATCAGCCCGTACTTCGAGCCTGAGGAACTGCCGAGTTTGAGGACAAACTCTTCTGAAGAAGGGGAGGTTGATATACCCCCGACCACCAACAACGATCCTCGAGTCCTTAAGCAAATCTGTGGAATAATGTCCAAGTGTTTTAATCCTTTTTGGAATGAATACATCACCCATAAACCATACAACCTGACCATGATCCTGTTGGACCTTCCCCCACCTTGATGGCCGAAAGTACCACCAAAAACCACCACTCCCAAATATCCAAATCAAACCCAAGTCCCTTCATTTTTTTTACCCTGGCCGAACCCACACACCCCCACAACACCTCATCAAACTTCAAACCACATGCTAAATCCACAAACCCTTTTCTTTTCCCTGGAATGGCCGCAAACTAGGAGCCAAAACCCAACCAATTATTTCCCCAATGTGTACTAGCAGTGGCCCCCTTGTGTTTCCCCAACCAAGCTGAATAAACAACCATAACAGGCCAAGAACAATTCAGCATATATTTTCATCAAGAAAACCCAACTCATAAGAAGCCAAAAAACCTGCCATATCCCTCCTTCCTTGTTTCCCCACTTGGACCGTGCATAACCCACCAAAACCCACCATAAAAGAATCCCCATTTCCAACCAAATAAGTNTGGCCGCAAACTAGGAGCCAAAACCCAACCAATTATTTCCCCAATGTGTACTAGCAGTGGCCCCCTTGTGTTTCCCCAACCAAGCTGAATAAACAACCATAACAGGCCAAGAACAATTCAGCATATATTTTCATCAAGAAAACCCAACTCATAAGAAGCCAAAAAACCTGCCATATCCCTCCTTCCTTGTTTCCCCACTTGGACCGTGCATAACCCACCAAAACCCACCATAAAAGAATCCCCATTTCCAACCAAATAAGTGAGTCTCATTTTCCACCCCTCACTCCCCACACCAGGCCGAAAACACCCTCCCCCACAACCTCGCCCTTCTTCCTTGTTTTCATTCCATTAAAATAAGTGGACATTATTCCCCAAATAAGTGAGTGTACTAGGAAGCTTCCCTCTCCCCCTGGTGTGCTTATATATATCTCGGCCATAGGCCATTGTAAAACACATTGTATTCCATTTTAAATCAAAGTGATTCACTTGTGTGTTTCATTCCAAATTCCGAATCCTATATCTTAAGAGTGGTTCTCTTGAGTGTGAGTTTTAGGTTCTAGTTATTTAAATAAGTGTGTTATATATTATTTGAATGCTAGACTCAACCCCAAGTTAAGATAAGGGTGTGTAATATCCCTTAACACCAACTTGGCTTGTTCCCCTTCCCAAAGAAATATCTCTTTTCCTGTCCCGAATATCACCAATACTAATCGATTAACCACCCTTCGAGAAACACCTGCAGCCTTCAATAGTCGATTATCACTCTCAGATAATCGATTATCAGGCTTTCCCAGAAACCTGCAACTCTCAGTAATCGATTGACACCCTTCTGTAAATCGATTATCCCCCTTCTCCGAAAATCCCCGCCCAAGAACTTGAAGCCCTTAATAATCGATTATCCACTTTGGACAATCGATTATCTCCCCTTCCCTGCCATTAACAAGATTGTACCTATAAAACCCTGAGCTTGGGTATAACAGAAGGGAAGCTTAGAAAGGTGTGTTCTCAGAAACCAACACGTTTGAAAATGTCGTGGAGGGATGTCACATCCGTTTATGAATATGGTGGGCCGAGGGTTGAAGGGATGGGACTGTGGTTTGTCCAAGGAAGACCGGAAGGCAGTGAATACCCTGAGGTCCAAGTATTGTGCTTGCATAAAAGTTGCTGAAGTTAACGAAATGAAGGAAATGAATTTGAAGAAATCAAGGGATTTCATAAAGGGGTGAAAATTGTGTGGTTTTTAAACTTTGGTTTTTTTGCTATGATGATGGTCACAACCAAGTGCGTGGTTGGCCTTATCTGAAATTGATTGCCGTTTATTTCGTTAATTGTGTCGGTCGTATTATGTTGGAACTTTTGATGGCAATATGTTTTGATTGTGACGCTTCGTTTTTGGCTGACTGGTTGTTTTCGTATGTTACTATATTCGTATGAAACATTTGGCCTGCTATTATTGGTGTTGCATAGTCCCAAAACTGGAAATTATAAGGGTGCAGTGTATTGCTTTTGAAATGCAGTAATTTACCTTATAAAAGGGTGGTAAAAATATAAGAATACATGTATAAAGAAATAAATTATAGTGTTGTTGGAAAGTATGTGTTGGAGTATATTATTGTTACTTGGACCATGGTGGAAACCACTTGGAACCATGGGGTAATGCATATATTCGAAGGAATCATGCATGTGAATAAAATTATAGTGAGTTGTGACCCTTTTTTCTCAAGGATAGGATGGACATTATTAATTACTTGGAAACAGGAACATTAAAAGAATGAAACGCAGATGCTTTTTATCTTAATGTTCATCTGGTACTACATGAGTTGTTTATTTTACTACATGAGTTGTTTATTTTACTTAAACGTGAGTGGTAAAAATATAAGAATTCATATATAAATAAGTGAATGGTGATGTGGTTGTCAAGTATGTATATGCATACATTATTGGTATTTACGGAATGGGGAAACTATTTGGACTCGATAAGGTAGTGCATGTATTCGAAGCCATCACGCGTGGTTGTTAAGTTATATTCAGTTATGAGCCTTTTTAACATTGACGACTTGCGTGAACCAGTAAAGGGCATTGAGTGTGTGGTAGCTCTTTATTCCAAGGACAACGTGTTTGTGGTAAGCCTCTATTCCAAGGACATTGAGTGTGTGGTGAGCTTTGAGTAGTTGGAAACAAGATGAATAATAAAATGAGTGCTGAGAGATTTTACTCTTAGTGTTCATCAGGTTGTTCATAATAAGGTCAGATTGTTGCATCTGCAAACATCTGCAAATAAATTTCATAGCTGACACGTCGTTGAGCTTTGCCAACATGTTTAAAACTGGTTATGCACTGCATAAACGGAATTCGTAACAGATGTTGGGAACTATAGACTGGAATAACTGAGTAATGATGTCAGTTTATCGCATTTCAAATCTGTTAATTCATCACACACAACGCGTAGAGAGCAAAATGAAAGTATGAATAAAGGAATTAAAATTAAAAACATTACAAATAAAGACTAATGCAATCAGCCTGAAATGTTTTTGGGGCAATTCCTACTGTCATGATAACCAAGTTGCTGACATTTTCTGCACATTCGTTTATTCTTCTTTGCTTGTTCAATGCTCAACTCTTTTGCACTTTTGATTCTCTTGCCACTTCCCTTGTTGTGTACAGGTTACGGTGGTAGTACTGTTATATTAGCCGGGGCAGGTACTCCATAATAACATTCAAAAATGGTGTTTTGTGTATTTACAACACCAGAACGAATGACAACTTCAAGGATGTCTTTCTGTTGACGGATAATCTTTGAAAACCCACCCAACAAATCTGGCTTTTGCTCAACTGCAGCAACACAGAAATAAAGATCTGTCCACAAGCGGTTTAATGCAATTTTCTTTTCTTCAGCAGCGGATAGAGCTTCAAAATCTACATCAGGCACATCATACATGGGCTTGATCAATCTGGTTTTACACCACCTGCTCGTAATGTAAATGTCGGGGATCTGACTGATGTTCTCATCTTTGAAAACTAGAAAAATGTGTCTACACAATAGACCACATTTATGGTAATGTTTACAGCTGCAGCTTGCAGATGCATCAATACGGGAGAATCGCTCTGTGAAACTCATACCCCTCTTTTCCTTAAATAAATATTGCACCTGTTGGTGATGTACCCCGGGATGCTCCTAGAAGCATGAAGGCTACGCCACAAACCATAAAACAAATCAAAGGGTTAATATCTAAGTGTTATGATCCTTTTTGGGCTGAACTCATTAACCTTTCGTATCCTATAACCCAAACCATAACCCTTCTCTTCCAAAGCCTTTCTTGATATTAAACCATTCCATATCCTTCCCAAAATATACAAAAATCTTTTATTTTCATTTGATGAACAAAATAAAGTCCTTTCTCTCCTTTTTAGCCCTAAACAAAAATGAGGTCAGAAGGACAAACCTTGCGTATTGTTTCTACTTCTTTTGTTCCTTGTAATTAAAATAAAACCTTCCTTTCACTTCCCTACATCAAACCCACGAATTTCCCAACACTTTTACCCAAAAATCAGGCCACATTATGTTTTAATCAAGACAAAATTCAAACCACAAAACAAAAACAAAATCAGGAAAAAGTTTTTCTTGATTGAATAGTGTTGATTTTGTCCTGTTGTTCAAAAACCAATCCCCTTCATATCCTTCAGCATATGGCCGAATTTCCCACTCCAAATATCCATAAACACAACCCCATTTACCAAGGATAGAGATAAAAACATCAAGGAATCAAAACCATTGATTAAATAGTGCAAACTTTGTCATCTTATCCTTAATAGTCAAAGTTACAACTTTCCTTGAGTCCCTTCTCACATGGCAGGAATTAATGATCCATATTAAGCCAAAAATCCCAGCCTTTTTACCTCATTTTTCCTGGTCAATGAGTGCTGCCCACTAAGATTAATAATACATGGATATTAATCACATGATTTGTAGGAAAGTAAAGTGTAATTTCCCTTGTTTTGCATTATATATTCCGGCCATAAAGCCTTGTAAAGACATCTCAATTTTCATTATCAATATTACTCTTGAAATATTCCCTGAGTTGGTGTAAAGCTAATTCAATCCATTTCCTAATGAAATATCTCTAAAGTTGGCCACTTTTGAGTGTGTGTTAGGAGTCTATTTAATACTTTAATAGTGATTATTATTGTATAAAATAGATAATAGCCCCAAATATATATAAAGAGTGAGTTTATCTCTTACATATTATTTGGTTTATCCTTTATACAAAAACCACAAAACATTTCCCTTCTTTTCTTCTAATTCTGATCCTGAACCTATAAATAATCGATTATCATTGCTTGATAATTGACTATTGAACTCCTCTGATTCCTCTTCAAAATCTGCAACATCACACAATCGATTGTCTTGCAGTGTCAATCGACTATCTGGTTCCTCTGAACCATTTCCAGATGCGCTAAACCCTAATAATCGATTATCATTGTTTGATAATCGACTATTGAAGCCTTCTGATTCTTCTTCAAAATCTGGAACATCACACAATCGATTGTCTTGCAGTGTCAATTGATTATTTGGTTCCTCTGAACATTTCCAGTTGAGCTATTCCCTAATAATCGATTTACCAAATGTATTAATCGATTATTCCATAGCTCTGAATCCTGAGTGAATCTGTTCCTGTTTATCTATCTTAAGTTTGGGTACAACATTTGGTATCAGAGCCTGGTTGTTAACATCTCTAAAGGACCAAACACACTTCCCTCACCTTCTTAATCCTTCCTTGATACTTTATCCCAAATACATCATACAAAGTCTACAAATCAGCCCAACCAAACACCATGTCAAATACCACTCAAAACATAACCCATGAAGAACTTGTGGCTTCAAATGCAGCCCTGCAAGCTCAAGTTGATTATCTAGCCAAGCAAATAGCCAAGCTCACTAAACAAAAGCTAGCTATGTTGCAATCCAGTGATGATGAAGAAGAAGCTAGTTCCAATGCCACCATAAGAACTAGAGCTCAAGATAAGTCCGGTTCTGATTTCAAAGTGGATATTCCCATCTTTGAAGGAAAATATGACCCGGATGAGTTCCTTGAATGGCTGGAAACAGTGGAAAGGGTATTTGATTTCAAAGAAGTATCCGACGAGAAAAAGGGCAAGATTGTAGCCTTGAAGTTTCGGAAATATGCATCTACCTGGTGGTCCAACATCAAAACTAAGAGGAGTCGAGATGAGAAACCTCCGGTTGATACCTGGCAAAAGATGAAGACTCTCTTGAAAAAGAAGTTCCTACCTACTGAGTACGTACGTGAGAATTTTGCTAGGCTTCAAACGCTTAGACAAGGTTCAAAATCTGTCGAGGATTACACCAGAGAATTTGAAGAACTCTTGCTGAGGTGCAATCTGCAGGAGAATGAAGAACAAACCTTCGTAAGGTATCTTTTTGGCTTAAATACTCAAATAGCCAACACGGTTGAATTACAAGGTTTCAACACTTTTGAAGAGCTCACTAAATTAGCTCTTAAAGTGGAATCCCAAATCAGGAAGTCCAAAGCCATTTTCTCCCGAACCACTTCCTCTTACTCAAAACCAACTTACACTCCACCAAAATCCACCCCTACTACCCAAGGCCTACCCCAAAATTCCAAAACCATACCTCCTTCCAAATCATCTTCCACACCCTTTTCACCTAAAACAACCCCTCTAACCAACAAAAGAGCTCCCGTTTGTTACCGTTGTAAAGGTACCGGTCACTATGCCAATGAGTGCCCGAACAAAAAGGTGATGGCCCTTGTTGAATATGATGATGAAGACTTTGACCACTCTTTGGTTGAAGAAGAAATATCCGAAGAAGAAGAAGAAGAATGTGTTGGCCCAGATGAAGGCAAACTTTTGGTCATCCGAAGGACCTTAAGTGCGATTCCTTGCCCCGAAGAACAACTACAACGAGAAAACATATTTCACACTCGTTGTACAATTCAAAAGAAGGTATGCTCCCTAATCATTGATAATGAGAGTTGTTCTAATGTTGCTGCCAAGACCATGGTGGAAAAGCTTGATTTAAGCTTGTTTCCTCATCCTAAACCTTACACGATTCAATGGTTGAATCAAGGTAAAGGTTTACGAGTTGATACCCGCTGCTTAATTTCCTTGAGCATTGGCAAAACCTACAAAGATGATATTTGGTGTGATATCATACCCATGGATGCGTGCCATGTCCTCTTGGGACGTCTTTGGTTGTTTGATAACAAAGTGCAGCACGATGGTTATCTAAACACTTATTGATTTCTAATGAATAAGAAGAAGATCACCCTCACACCTTTACTTCCCTCCTCCTCATCCACTGTCCAAAACAGCCAAGAAAATCACCCCTCTCATTTCCACCATACTCCAATCTGAACACCATGAGTTCAATGAATTTAAAAATCTCATCCTCCTTGATCTCGAAGAATCTGAACCCAATATTGTTCCAAAACAGCCCCACCCTTTAGCCAAGCCAATCCTTGAAAAATATGCCCATGTATTTCCTGAAGACGTACCACACGGTCTTCCTCCCAAAAGAGATATCCAACACAAGATAGATCTTATTCCCGGAGCTGCTTTGCCCAACAAACTGGCATATAGAATGAATCCTGAAGAAACAAAAGAGATATAGCGTCAAGTGGATGGATTGCTAGAAAAAGGATTCATTAGGGAGAGCCTAAGTCCTTGTGCTGTACCGGCCTTGTTAGTACCAAAGAAGATTGGTACATGGAGGATGTGTTGTGATAGTCGTGCCATCAACAAAATTACCATAAAGTATAGGTACCCCATACCTAGACTTGAGGACATGCTGGACGACTACACGGTTCTAAGGTCTTCTCAAAAATCGATCTTAGAAGTGGTTATCATCAAATCAGGATTTTTGAAGGAGATGAATGGAAAACCGCTTTCAAGACTAAGTTTGGTCTTTACGAGTGGTTGGTTATGCCTTTCGGCTTAACTAACGCCCCGAGTACGTTCATGAGGTTGATGAACCAGATCCTGAAGCCGTTTATAGGTCATTTTGTTGTTGTCTACTTTGACGACATCTTGATTTATAGCAAGAGTGAAGAAGAACATATCAATCACCTCACTTTAGTGATTAAGAAGCTTGATGAAGAACAATTGTATGGAAACCTTGAGAAGAGCCAATTCTTCTCTCAAGAAACTGAATTTTTGGGATATTTTATCTCAAATGAAGGGATCAAAGTTGATGAAAGAAAAACGCAGGCCATACGAGATTGGCCCATGCCAACCACTATGCAACAAGTCCGGAGTTTTCATGGCCTTGCTTCTTTCTATAGAAGATTTGTCAAGGATTTCAGTACTATCACAGCTCCTCTCACGGATTTAACCAAACATCAAAAGTTTGAGTGGAATCCAAGTGCACAACAGGCCTTCGAAACTATCAAACTTAAACTAACACATGCACCGGTGTTAGCTTTGCCTAGTTTTGATAAGTTGTTCGAAGTTGAATGCGA